TGGAAATTTTTCCTTTGTGAAACTTCAGTTTTCTTGACCTTGGGTCAGCTTTATCTCGTTTTTTCCCCCTCCTATCTTGCTTACTGCTCCTGCTCACTCTCCATCTCCTGACCTCCTAAAATTGGAAAACCCAGTGCCCAGTGCTCTGACCTCTTCACTATCTGTCTCATTTTGGTGATCTCATCCTGTTGCCTGACTTTAATGAATTCCAAATATATATCTCTAGCTTAGACTTCTCCCTAGGTGACAGTATTCAGCCTCAGAGGCATTTTTGTGCTAATTAGAAAAAACTGCCCTTTTCCTCAAGCACTTGACTGCCATCTTCTGGAACGATTTCAGAATAAATACATACTCATCAGATGACTGTGAATGTGAACGGTGTTTTACAGCTGTGCAGTCCTCACTATTAGTAGTAGTTCTGTTTCTCCACATGGATGTGCAGTGTATAGCAGGCATTGCAACCTTAAGAGGTCTTTGTTTTACTTTTTTCGATTTCCAAGTTCTTCCTCTTATGAGTTCAAATTCATTGAAGTCACTCATGACTCCTGTCTTTCTTCAATACCCCACCTTTGATCCACCTGCAAATCCTGTTGGGTTTTCCTTCAGAATACATTAGGACTTAACCACTTCTCACCCCACCTCCACTGTTGCCACCCTAGTCTAAGCTCCATCATCTGTCACCTCCATTATTTTAATAGCTCACTTCCTGTCTTTCTCCTGGTTGTCTCTTATCAACACAGCAGCTACAGTGATTTATTTAGAACTTAGGCCACATGATCTTTCTCTTTTACTGAAAACTCTTCAACCGGTTTACCATCCTCAGAGTGAAAATGAAAGACCTTTAAATGGCCCAAGGCCCTGCACCATCCAGGTTTGTATCACAGCCATGACACATCTGTCTCCCTCCCCCAGGTGTTTATGCTCCAGGTGCATGGGGATCCTTGCCCTTTCTCCAGTGTGCCAAGCACCGGGCTGTGGGAGTACTCTTGGGAAAGCATAGCTTGCTCCTGCCCTTTCTTTCCCCCTTCCCTTCCCTTCCCTTCCCTTCTTCCCTTCCTTCCTTCCCTTCCCTTCCCTTCCCTTCCCTTCCCTTCCCTTCCCTTCCCTTCCCTTCCCTTCCCTTCCCTTCCCTTCCCTTCCCTTCCCTTCCCTTCCCTTCCCTTCCCTTCCCTTCCCTTCCCTTCCCTTCCCTTCCCTTCCCTTCCCTTCCCTTCCCTTCCCTTCCCTTCCCTTCCCTTCCTTCCCTTCCCTTCCCTTCCCTTCCCTTCCCTTCCCTTCCCTTCCCTTCCCTTCCCCTCCCCTCCCCTCCCCTCTCCCTCCCCTCCCTCCCCTCCCCTCCCTCCCCTCCTTCCCTTCCCTTCCCCTCCCCTCCCCTCCTCTGCCCTCCCCTTCCCTTCCCTCCCCTCCCTTCCCTTCCCTTTCCTCTTTCCCTTTCCTCTTTCTTATTTATTTATGCATACAAGAATGAGGGTACAGGCCAGAGGTATGGGGGGGGTGAGAGGATTCACCAGAGACAGAGTGGGGAGCAGAACAGGCAGACTGACTAAAACACACTGCTGAGAGGAGCAGTGGGCAAGACAGGAGAGGTCTGCTGCGCGATGTGGGTTGCTCCCTGGCTGGGGATTGAACTCATGTTACAGAGGCTGTGGTTAGCCTCATAGGTTGCGTCTTAACCCCTTGTGCTACCTGGGAGGCCCACTCCTGCCCTTTCTTGAGTCTTTGCTCAAACATCGCTTTAATCATATCAGAGAGGCTTTCTCAAAGCATATGACAAAGCACCCCACCTCATCCAGCATTTAATAGTCTCCTTGTGGTTCAGTTTTCTCTGTAGCACTTATCATCTGGCACACTCACATTGTTTATTGTTTCATCTCACTAGAATCTAAGCTTCATGAGTTTAGAGACTTATTTTTTTCCCCTTCTGTTACATTTCTAAGATTTGAAACAGTGTCTGGAAAGTAGTAGGAGCTCAATAAATATTAGTTGAATAAGTGAATGAATATACAGGCATCTAGAAATCTCTTTCTGGGAACTTCTCCTTAAAATGATTCAAAGGTTTGCTTGAGCCTCCATAATTCAAATCTCAGTTCCATGATAAAAGCATTTTGGGCATCCAGGAATGAATTTAAATCGAATTTGAAAATGGCATCGATTTTAGTCTCCTGGAAGGACATTGGTTTCCTACAGAGACAGCAAGTAGGCGCCATCTAGTGGCAACAAATGTAGCCCACACTTGTGTTTCTTGAATTATTGATTAGAAACATAATTGAAACCTTAGTGCTTGATCCAGAAGCTTATTCATTCTATAAAAGTAATAATGATCATAGTAATAAGTCCTCAAGCGTGCATTACCCATAGAATATTGAATTTAAAAAGTATGGTTTCATTTCATCTAAATTATTTATAACTCATTTTTACTTACTCATTTTTGTTTGTTTTGTTTTATTTTCTGGGTGGTGACATCTTTCGTTCCTCTTTATTTTTACTTACATTTAAACTCTTACATTGCCATGGCACTGGCTTAGATACTGAGTAGGTAAATAGGGTCCATCTTCTGAGGATTTATAATCTAATAAAAGCAGTACCTATGAGGATAAGCATGTGAAAGAATATGCCAAATGTCGCTGCTTTTTCTTCAGTTTAGATGTCTGAAGCCCACTTACTGACGATTTATTGATGGGTATACTTCCACCATTGAGGGAATGACCTTTTGGGAGTCTTAGCTTGCTGTTTTCCAGAAAACAATACACTTTCCAGACTATATTACCACATGGAGAAAGAGAGAGAAATAGTCACAACCACCTTCAATGGCAGGAAAGACAGAAATTAAGTAAAGTCCCTGTCATTCTAAATTTGAAATGTTAGGCCATTGAAGTTCTTTGGTAAATGAAAGCAGGAACTAGGAGCTCTGCAGGAACCCATGCCCTTTCCAGTCCCAAGGAGCTGGGGTGGGACTAGGCCATCTGTCTGTCACCAGAGATCTAAGCAATGGCCAGACTAGCAGGAGAGCGTCAGGATAGAAGCCCAGAAGGGAAATGAATTCTGTGCTAATCCTCATATTAGTCCCCAACTTTTCACCTGGAAGAAGGCAGGTTAGCTTCAGAGACTAAAAATTGGACCAATAGACTATGATAAGAAAGCAGATTTCTCACTAACATAAACATTTTCCAGCAAGAGTTTTTACCAAGAGAGTAAAGCCTGGGTTCCAGATTAGTGGGTGGGTCCAAGCGGAGGCTGGACGACAATCCGTCAGGGATTGGTTGAACATGGTAAGACTTTTCTGATTACCTGAAAGACCTTCCTTTCTCCCTGTATACCTTGAAACCCTCCCCTGTTTTTAACTCATCCACACCCCGTTTCCTTTTTTGGGCACTGAAGCTTGAAGCCATTTTTCCTAGCTCTACTTTTCCTATCACTTTATGCATTCTCATTTTTATTTTTGGTTCTGACTTCTTTTATTCAGCCTTCTGTGCTTATAGGTTTTATGCATATTATTGTGTTTAGTTTCCTATCATTTTAGTGCAGATCAGTACATTTCATGTTGTCCTGTTTACTATGTTGTCCTGTTTACTTTCTTCTCTGTGATATAGTTTTTAGCTTCCCAAATTGATGCTAAGCTACTTGAAGACCAGAATAACATAATTTTCTCCCTAATGATCTTGCCATAGTGGGTGATGGTTTAATTTTTTTTACCCAGTCTGAGTTTTTCCTTCTGCCAATCATACTGATTTTTAAATTAAATTTATTTTATTTTTTTAAAGATTTATTTATTTATACAAGCACTGGTACAGTCAGAAGCATGGGAGGGTGAGAGAATTTATCAGAGCCCGAGCAGGGAGCAGAACAGGCAGACCGATGAAATACACTGCTGAGGGGGAGCAGCAGGCAGCAGGAGAGGTCTGCGCCCCATGTGGGACCCTCACCCGGAGGCCAGGGATGGATCCGGTGCTGCAGAGACTGCAGGCAGCTTCGCAACCCAGCGTTCAACTGCTGCGCCACTGGGGAGGCCCATACTGATTTTTTTAAAAAGAAATATCTTCTTTGATGTGATGCTTTAATTATATTTTTCTTGAGAAAATTAAATATCTTTAATTATAAAATTAAATTTAAATGGTATATTTTGAATAATATATTTTAAACTTTTAAATAGTACAATTTAATATTTTTTTTTTATAGAGGCATGTTTTATTTATTTATTTTTATTTGTTTGTTTGTTTTTTTGTTTATACATGCACTGGGTACAGTCAGAAGTGCGGGAGGGTGAGAGAATTCACCAGAGCCAGAGCGGGGAGCAGAGCAGGCAGAAGGACCGAAGTACACTGCTGAGGGGAGCAGCGGGCGGCAGGAGAGGTCTGCGCGCCATGTGGGACCCTCCTCCCGTGGCTGGGAAGCAGCCGGGGATCGAACCGGCGCCGCGGAGGCCGCGGGCAGCTTCGCAACCCAGCGCTCAACCGCTGCGCCACCGGGGAGGCCCTAAATAGTACAATTTAAATGGGATATTTTAACACTATTTCAAATAGTCTATTTGCAATCTAAAATATTCTATTATTTCTTTTTAAATAATTAAGCAAACTGTGTTTCTAAGCTCTCCTGCTTTCTGAATCCATATTTATATAATTCAACATTTCATTATAATGTGGTGGTGATATTGAAAAGGGATATACCAATAGGACGAGTAGAAAGGCTCTGTGTATATCCTTGATCTAATATATTTTTTGATAGATGCTGCTGTTTATCATAGGGAGGATCAGAATTCTCTTTAAATTACTTAATAGACTAAATGAGTTAAGCACTTCTTGCAGTGTTTGTTTTCCTAAAAATGAGCAAATTTAGCATTCTTAACATTTGTATTAACACATCAGTATTAACTGTTTCTTAGTAATTTTAATGACAATATTGGATACTTTGACTTGCAATTAAAAAAATATTGTTGTCTTGTAATTTCTGCAACAGTACATGAATTTTAGTTTGCATTCACTTGTTTCTTCAATTTTTTGCAGAATATGCTGAATTTCTACATTGCAAAGGGAAAAAATTTACAGATTTTGATGAAGTTCGCCATGAGATTGAAGCTGAAACAGATCGAGTGACTGGAATGAATAAAGGCATTTCATCCATACCCATTAATTTACGAGTGTATTCTCCACATGGTGAGTAAAATAATAGAAGTCCAAATTCTCATCCTCAAATCTTTTTTACTATATTAATTAACATACATTATTTGTATCAAAGATGGTTGGTTTTCTCAAAAATTACCAGCTTTCTAGGATAGTATTTGGATATTGCCATGAATGCTATAGTCCGAGAACTCGCGGATTCATGAATGGGGAGGCAGGAGATGACTTTAAAAAGAAACAACAGAATTGAGCAAGCCAATAAAAATTTTCATCGATAATCCTTTCCTGGCTCTGTTGTTTTGGAAATGGAGCATGAATGACGTAAGGGCACATTTGACTTCCCAAGAGGACTTGGTACCAACACTGTTGTATACAGAAAGTATACAGCAGCCAGGTGGGGGCTGAATCATGTTGTCACTGGCACTGGGGTGATTTTCTGCTCTTCCACATCTTTCCCCATGAGTCTGGCTACAGAATGGAGTGGAATCCATCAAGTAAGGTCATACACAGTAACCTCATAATGCTACAAATGGAGACCAGCTCTTTAACAGTCTAAGCTGGAGATCTTAATGTACGATGCTTTTGAAGGGAAAGACAAATCTTTCTCTGAGAATTTTTATTTGAGGGCACTGTACAAGGCTGACAGTATATGCACTTCTTGTTCAGTGTTTTAATTATAACCCCCTAGTTACGGATATGACAGCTCTCTGAGAAAACTGTTAGGCATGCAAATCAGTGCCTTTCAAATTATGTTAACATGATCATTTGGCACAGCACACTTATGTCATAAAAATAGAGAAAGCCACTTTGCATTCTGTTTTATATTCTACACACTTGAGTTGGAGTTACTCAGATACACAATATATAAAGCTGAGCTTGTTTTATTCCCCTAGTGACAGATGATTCTGCCTTGTTGATAGCATTGAGGGTGTATATAAACTTTTTTTTCCTTTCCAACAGTGTTAAACCTAACCCTTATTGACCTACCTGGAATTACTAAAGTGCCTGTGGGAGATCAACCACCAGATATTGAGTATCAGATCAGAGAAATGATTATGCAGTTCATTACCAGGGAGAATTGTCTGATTTTGGCTGTTACCCCAGCCAACACCGATCTTGCCAACTCAGATGCATTGAAGCTAGCTAAAGAAGTTGATCCTCAAGGTGAGTGTATGATCCTTAAGTTGAGAATTAACTAGTTAAAAATGTCAAGTTTGTTTATAGTTGAAGGAAACACCAATTTTCATGACTTGATTTGATAGTTAATAAAATTAACCATTATTAATATTGTTAAATATTTTGTATTTAAGATGCTAAAATACAACTAGGGAATAGTTGAAATCAATCTAAATTAATGTAAGATTAATTGAGATCTGAGAAAATAGCCTACTTATCTTAAAAAGTCAGTAAGACACAAACTTACAACAGAGAGATAAATGAGTTCTGGAGATCTAATGTGCAGCATAATGATTACAGGCAATATACATTAAGTACTATGAACTTCAGTGTTATTAAGAAATACATATTAACTTTTGTCAACACAAAAAACTAAATTAAAAGTACGTGACATTAGGTATTACACTTGACCCTTGGACAATGAGGGGTTAAGGAATGCCCATTCCTAAGCAGTAGAAAATCCTTTTCTAACATAGCAAACCCTCCTTATAGGCAGGTTTTGTGTGCACAGATTCAATCAACCAGTTTCTGACATCTGCGGTTGGTTGAATCCCTGAATACAGAACCCACAAATGGAAAAATGCTACAAGTGGACCTATACAGTTGTTCACACTTGTGTTGTTCATGGGTCAACAATGTTAATTTACAATTATTTGTGATAAATGCATATTGTAACAGCAGCTATTTATCTGTTACTGGCATTTCATAGTATAGAGGAAATCCCTTATTCATACTGATGTTTTAATTTTTGTCTTTCTCTGAGTCAAAAACAGTTTATCATCAGGGACCCCAATGATGGACCTTTAATGTATTTGTTTAAATTATGAGAGGGCACTCAGTGATGTGACCTTTCAATATAGAAATGCATGTTCTTCAATTCTAAGAATTATCCTTTTTTTTTGGTAATTCATTTGATGAAAAATTAATTTTGATAATTGCCCCATTTCTTTATCTGGAGTTATTATTACTAGCATGTTAGAACTCCTATATTATTAAGCCTCTTTAAAAAAAAGTTTCCTTTTCTATCATACATTTCTTTTTGTCTTAATATTTGCAGGATTTACTCAACTTTATCTTTTGATCCTTTATCTTTTGATCCTTTTTAATTTCTGGTATCATTTAAAAATGTTGAACAGCATTTTCTTATTTTGTGAGTGTTATTTTTGTTTCTAAAAGTAGCTTTGAAAGCTCTTGGTTTCTCAAATAGACTACATTACCTAAAAATTGTGAGAGCTTTTTGAGGTTTTCCTTTGGTCATCTACAATGTTTCTGAGTCTTTTTTTTCCTGGCTGTTTGTATTGGTCATTGTCTTTCATGTCAGCGGCCTTTGACATTTGAAAAAGTTTGGTACCCTTATTACTCATTTAGGTATTATAGTGAAGCACTAAAAAGCTAATGGAAGCTCTGTATGTGTGCCAATGGGAGCCATGGACAAATGGGACCCATTTGTGCTGGGATCTGGTCATTTTGTTAGGAGGCTTCTTCAATATTAGACTCTATGAATATTTTCTCTTGAGCTGGTCTAGTATAAGACAGGTGTCCAAAGTTCTCAGAACCAGGAAGAATTGAGTTGGTGGAGGAAGGAAGGGTGGTTCTCACTACTTAGTATGTAGACTTTTAATTAATCTCTCTGCTTTCATAATGGCTTTCTTGACAATTTTATTAAGTCCAAAATCCTAAAGTTTATCCTCTTCTGAAAATAAATCTTCAATATTTTGCTAAGGTCGAGGAGGAATAACTATTTGGTTGTATAAAATGGAGAAAAAGGTCTAGAGATCTAACATCTTCCTACATAAATCTTTAGCAATTCTGTTTTCAACTCCTCATATGCCCAGACTTGGTGCCTCCAGTTCTTGAGCTTTCCCAGAGTTCTGCATTAGTAAATGTTTTACTTATTGGCTTATTCCAACTTCCTGAGATTGGGAGTTGGTGCAAGGCAGGTAGAGGTTCCAGATAGCTAGGTGGAGACCATTACCAAGATTTCCTCTCCAGCATCAGTGACTTAGAAGAGCTGACATATGGAATGGGGCTGGAGTCCAGTTATAAAAAGGATGTTGAAATAGCCATCTCTCTGCAGCCTTATGTCCCACTGGAGGCTAAACCACTGTTGTCTGTTTGGGGCAGAGAAAGCACTTTGACAATTTAATTCTAGTGAGCACAGCTGAAATCCACATTTAGTACAGATGAGGCATCGTGGAGGAGAGCAAATTACACCTCCCAGCATCTTGGTTGTGCCTCCTTGGAGTTGGTTCCTCTCTCAGATAGACTCTCCCCATAAATGGCAAGATGGCTACAGTGGGTTCTGTCTGATGCTCTCAGGGTTTCAAATATAGTAGATGAAAAGTCAGTGGAGAATCTTTTATTTGTATAAGCTCTGGATTTGATACAAGATCTAAATTAAAAGAAGATTGATCAACTAATACACCCTGTAAAGTATCCACAGTTAATTCTTGAGAATGATTTATCATTTTCATGCTATATTTTACTCCTTTTGTGTAGGTAGGGGAATATTAATTGACAGTGACTATATCTCATGCCTCAGGCTTTTCAAAAGAACATTCATCGATCATACAAAACAGTAACTTACATGCCATGAGAGATCATTATGTGGTGGAGATCAATGTTGTTGGAGAAAATCATCAGTTTGCTAACAAGGAAATGCCAGTATTTAAAAGGTGTTGTTATAGCATAAATGAAACACGGCATTAACTTTCAGTCATAGACCTCTAATGGTGTGTCAGAAGTCTGTATCCAGAAAGTTAAATGAGAATTTTTTCATATTATGATAGGTCTTATTTATTTTGTAAACTTATTATTATTAGTTGCCACTTAGAAATTGGTGTGTGAATGCTCAGGGACTTACCACACGTGAGACTCATTTCTTGTGGATCATTACATCTGTGCTTTGTCAAAGACAGGCCTTTATTATCCTAATTTTGTATATCCTATTTTTGTGTGATTTTTATAATTTTTATTTTTCTTCTGTATGTATTATGTCTTACTGCTTTTGTTTTTCCATTTACTGCCTTATTTTTTTTTTGTTGTTGTTAAAAATATGTTTTCTAGTGTACTTTAATTCCTATGTCATTTATTTTGGTGTTTTTAAAGTTATTTTCTTAGTGGTTGCTATGGAATTAAATTTAGCATCTTAATTTATAACAATAAAGTGCAGATCAATTGACCAACTTAATTTCAACTGTATACATTTTTATTTTTTACTCCTCCCCCATCTCTTATGCTATTATTATAATACAAATCATATCTTTTTACATTATATGCCTCTCAATACAGATATATATTTATGCTTTATGCAGTTGTCTTTTAAATCAGATAGGACAAAAAGGAGTTACAAATAAAACCAAATTTATATTTTATTTTATATTTCCCTATGTAGTTACCTTCACCAGTGCTCTTTATTTCTTTGTTTGGATTTGAAATACTGCCTAGTGTGCTTTCCATTGAAGCTTTTTTTTTTAAGATTTATTTAATTATGCACACAAGAACTGGGGTACAGGCCAGAGGTGCAGGGGGTGAAAGGATTCACCAGAGACAGAATGGGAAGCAGAACAGGCAGATCTACTGAAATACACTGCTGAGGGGAACAGCAGGTGAGACAGGAGAGGTCTGCTGCACCATGTGGGTAGCTCCCTGGCCTGCGGGGGGATCGAACTCATGCTGCAAAGACTGTGGATAGCTTCATAGTGCTGTGCTTAATCCCTTGCTCCACCAAAGAGGCCCCATTAGTATACTTCTTGTAGGGTAGGTTTGCTAGAAAGGAATTCTGTCCGTTTTTATTAGTCTGGGAATGTGTAAATTTCTTTTTAAGTTTTGAGAGGAAATTCTTGGTAGGCAGCCTTTTCCTTCACATATTGAGTATGCCATCTTATTGCCTTCTGGCTTTTATGGCTTTCTAATGAGAAATCAACTGTTAATCTCAAGTATGACTTAAGCAGAGTCTCTTTTTGTTGCTTTCAAGATTTTGTCTTTTGTCTTTGTCTTTTGGGAGTTTGAGTATGATGTTTGTAGATAAAGATGTCTTTGAGTGTATTTTACTTGGATTTTTTGAGCTTTTTAAAGTGTGGATTAATGTTTGTTATTAAATTTGTGACCTTTTAAGCCATTATTTCTTCAACTATTCTTTCTTCCTCTTTTGCCTCTTTCTCAGATTCTTATTATATATACGTTGGTACTCTTGATGTGACCCACAGGATCCTGAGGTTTTGTTCATTTTATTTCCATTGTTTGTTTTTCTTTCTGTTCCTTTGATGGGAGAAACAATCTCAACTGACCTATATTCACTTTTGATGAGTCTTTCTTTTTCTTGCTTAGATCTGCTCTTGAATCTCTATAATGAGGTCTTCATTTCTAATATTTTAATTTTCCCTTGGAGAATTTTTATTTGATTCTTTGAAAAGCCATTTTTATATTTTTATTTATATTTTTATTTGGTGAAACATCATTCTCCACCTTTTTTCCAGTTCTTTAAAAGCACTTATTGTTCTTTGCACATGTTTAAAATAGCTGATTTAAAGTCTTTGTCTAATTTACTTCCATGTCTGGACTTTCTCAGAGATAGCATTTGCTTTTTTTCTGTGCCATACTTCCTTTCATAAATTGTATTTTTTGTTGAAATGGAACATTTTAAGTAATATATATAACAACACTATAAATCAAATTCTTCTCCTTCCCTAATATTTATTTTTGCTGTTGCTATTTATTTTCTTTGTAAAGTTCAGTTAACTAACTGTGAAAATTAGTGTTTTTTGTTGTTAATGGTCACTGAAATCTTTGCTCAGTTTTCTTATTGTTCAGCTAATGATTGGGCAGAGATTTTTTTAAATTCTCTGAGCCAGTAAGTCTCAAATTTGCTGAAGGACTTGATGTGCATCAGGCAGATAGTTTATGACTCCTTTCGGCCTTTATCTCCTGTTTGTATTACAGCCTTAAGGTTATCTGAAGGTAAGAATTAAGATCTTCTCAGATCTTTC